TCATGTACATTAACCAAATCCAAGTTAGAATCACGTACCCCGATGAATTTCTTGAAAAAACCCTCAAAATATCGCCACAAACCGAGCTCCCTAAGTCCAAAATGTGAAATAATGTCCTAAACCCCGTTTATATTGTGCACTCTCTGATCTCCACTACGCTGACCGTGAAAATCCAGGCGCGGCCGTGAAAATCCAAACCCTGCGGTCGCGAAAAAGTAGCGTTGTCCGCGCTTCTGATGGTTGTAGTGACAAGATTTAGTATTTTAGCCATAACTTTCTCTACAGACATCCAAATGATGATTTTTTTTATTTTTCTGGAAACTAGACACGAAGGGATATAACTTTCGTTTTTGAATCATCTCAAAATTCCTTGTAGATCAAAAGATATTAGCTTCCGAAGTCGAACCAGCGAATCTGCAGATCTACCCCGGAGCGCCTCCGCGGCCAAATTTACGCGGTCCGCACCCCCTCCTCCGCCCTCAGCGGAATTTTGTCGCCCTCAGCGGAATTTTTACCGCCCTCAGCGAAATTTTAAGCACCAGAACCGTGCCTCTGTTTTGGTACTGCCCAGACTCGCTCAAAACTCACCCAAAACACATCCGAGGCCCCTGGGACCTCAACCAAACATACCAACCAATCCTAAAACACCATACGAACTTAGTCGAACCTTCGAATCACTCAAAACAATATCAAAACGCCAAATTACCCTGGGATTCAAACCTAAGAATTTTTAAATTTCCAAATTCGGCATCCGATGCCGAAATCAACCAAACCACGTCCGAATGACTTCAAATTTTGCACACACGTCACAAATGACACTATGAACCTACTCCAACTTCTAGAATTCTATTTCGACCCCGATATCAAATTTTTCACTGCCGACCGAAATCGCCGAAATTCTAACTTTCGCCAATTCAAGCGTAATTCCACTACGGAACTCCAAATCACATTTCGAACGCGCTCCTAACTCCAAAATCACCTAACGAAGCTAATGGAACCATCTGAATTCCAATCCGAGGTCAAATGCTAAAAAGTCAAACTTTGTCAACTCTCCAAATTTAAAGCTTCAACAATGAAATTCTTTCTTCCAATTTGATTCTGAAATACCTGCAAATCAAAATCGATGATTCACACAAGTCAAAGTACATCATACGGAGCTACTCATGCCCTCAAACAATCGAGCGAAGTGCAAATGTTCAAAACGACCGGTCGGGTCGTTACACCAACATTGTCGTCACTTCTAGTGTGGAATTGAATTTTATTTGTTAGTATTAGTATTAATTTGAACTTTGTTTGAATTACTACATTTATGGGATATAAAATTTATTTACCATTCAAGAATGTTAAGTTCAAACTTGAAATAATACGTTAAAAGATAGAATTGTGAAAAAGTTTAAGAAATATTTATAAATTACATTACAATAAATATTTATATGTATAAAATATTTTTAGAAATTGCATAAATGTACTATCGGGTTGGTTTGGTTTCGGTTTGATTTTTTTTTTTGTTAAAACCAAACTAAACCAATTATGGTCAAGGTTTTTTTCCAATACCAAACCACAATCGGATTTTTTTTCCGGTTTGACTCGCATTATCGATTTGGTGAGATTTATTAATTTTTTTGCACACCCCTAATAGGATGTATGAGAAAAAATAATATGTGTATTAGCTTTGGTATTATTAATCACTTGTTTGATAGTATTTTTTAATTTTTATATAACTAATACTTGTATTAGTTATATACCTTATTCGGTACTATTCTTATACATAGCAAATCATGGCATTAGCAATACCATAGTTTTTAATATATGACTAAGCTTGTATAAAGATAATACTGCCATTTCAAAACCTTTTCTAAATCCTTTTCCACCCTGCCGGAGGGTATTTTTGTAAAGAAATTATTTAAAAAAAATATTATGCAATACATATTATTTTTAATATATAAAACTAAACAGTCAATAAGAAATAGTCTCAGTATAACTAATTCTAACATTATTAATTCAAATATTACTAATGCTCCATATTCAATACTATTTTTATATACCTACCAAAGTCTTAAAGTGTTTTGCTAGTCAGACAAGGTTTGGATTGTGTCGATAATGATGGTTGTTCCAAGAAAGAATTAAGCAAAAAGAGAATAATTGATGATTAAATATAGAAATCAATGGGACCATCATCATGATATGTCTTCCTTTTTTTGCCTATTGTTTTTCCTCTAATACATAAAAGATCTTATGTTAGAGACCCTTGTCAGGGCAAAATGATAGTTCGGTGCATAAGACATTTCGTATTTATATAAAATTTGCAAAGGATTACAATCCAAGAGATATAATATGGACAAGAGATATAATATGGACAGTCTATCATAATACAAAAATTAGTGATTATTCTAAGAAACTTAAATGTCTTATCTTAAAGACCCATGCTTGTTATGAAATCAAAAGACAAGAATTGAACTTTTAGTTTAAGAAATTAAATAATAGAAAACAGAGTCTCTTGGTGAAAAACCATGTGGTAGAAAAATACGACTACCTTAATTGAAATTGATCTCTTTGTTGTTTTCCTCTCCGTCCAACGTGATGTAAAGGTTTTTGTCCATTTTATAAATTCCCTTCTCTTTACCATTTTTGATGGTAAAGAAGATGTTCTTGTTCTTCCATTTCCCAAATCCAGTTCTTCTCGAATCGCTCCAGTACGATGGACGGGGGAGGGGGTCCGCCAGAGAAAATGCAACACGATAGAAGAGTTCGTTTCGCCGCGTAAGATCCTCGAATCAACCACGACGTCTCCCCTCTCTAACTTTCTCTTTGGGAATTTTGTCAAAGTTCCAAAATGTTGACGAAATTTGCTTACACGTAAATTACGCAATTGCATGGTTCTGAATCATTAAAAGAAAAAGGAAACTCGAATACTTCTTCCGTTTTATTTAATACATTGGTGTATGATTATACACAAAATTAAATATAAGGGGAAAAAACTTTTGAAGAATTAAAACTATGATTAAGATATGTTGTCTTAAATATGTCATGTTATTTTTGCTCTTATTAGATTATATCATTAACAATTATATAAACAGTTTTAAGTTTAACAATTAAAATGTAGAAAAGTTACCTTTTTCTTAAACAGGTTAAAATGAAAACCTTATTCATTTACCGATTTCTCTGTAGCTCATCGTCTTTTTATTAATAACTGGTTGTGTGTTGAATGATTCAGCGATAATCTGAAGTGAAAATACTATATTTGAAAAGGTTATGCATATAAGGTACCCATGCCGAGAGACGGAGCCAAGATTTGAAATTTATGGGTTCGGAATTTTAGATCTTTTAAGTTACAGGGTTCTAAATTAATAATTTATACATATTCAACGAATTTCTTAAACTAATACATAATTTGTAACAAAGCTACTGGGTTCGGCCGAACTCGTAAGTTCTACTCTCCCTCCACCTCTACTCATATACTCCAAAAAGATAAGACTTTTTGAGGGACACGCATAAAGGAGTGTCCCTCAAATGGGATAGAGGGTCGGGATCAAGGTTCGAGGTCAAGGTTTGGGGTCGGGGAAGGACGAAAAATATTTTCGTGGAAATTATTAGTTTTTAAAAATAGCTAGTGAATTATATACGTAAGCAATAATTAAATACTCAAAAAAAAAATTGAGTAAGTAGCAATGAATGTTTTGTAAGCAATGAATGCTTTTCACTTTTCTACAATTGTTTATTTCTATGTCAAAGCAAAACAAAAGAGAAAATCACTTTTTTGCTGACAAGTCTTATGTTTTTCTTTACTCTTCCAACGTTTGATGTCGAAGCATAAAAATAAAAAAATAAAAATTAGTAGTACTATTTTACTATCACATTAAATAAAATAATACTGCAATGTTAAAAGCACCTTCCTCCTTCATTACCACATTCAAATTAATATACGACGTGCATAAATACTGCAAGTACAACCAAATCAACGTAAGGAACAACATATCAATGGTAAGAGTATCTTCCTTCTTGATCGTGTGTTATTTTATGGAGCTGCATGTTTGATTATCTCTAAGTATTATGCAGTTGATATATGTAATTTTATTAATGTTTTCTTTAATGTAATAATACCAAACAGATTTTAATTTAAAAGAAAACAGGCTGCACATGATAAATAAATAAATAAGTGTCTTCATAATAGGATTTTAATTACAATTATGACATAGTTTGAAAAAGAATTTAACAAATATGTAACAAAAGAAACAGTGCAAAAGCCGATGTTTTGAAGAAATAATTTATGGTAATAAAAGTGATATTTTTCTGAAATTTTGTAGACAACTTCCAAAAGAGTTGCAGAGAGGAAAGTGGCTAAGTTTGAGAAGATTATAACAAAGAGGGGAATATTGCATCTTGATAGAGACAAGAAAGGAGGATTGGAGCCAATTCATGTTTTTCTTGTCCTCTTTGCTGTTTTGTTCCTTGGATCTTGTAAGCTCTCCTAATATCTCAACCTTTTTCTATTTATTAGTAGGGAACCTTGGTGTAGCCTCTTGCACAAATGTAGGATAAAGTTGTGTACAATAGACCTTTGTGGTCCGGCCCTTCCCTAGACCCCCACGCGCGCATAGCGGAAGCTTAGTGCATCGGGCTGCCTTTTTTTTTAACACCATACAACTCTATAAAGTGCAGCTAATGCATAAAGTATTCCGCATTCATATAGGGTCCGGAAAAGGGCCGCACACAAGGGTGTGACGTAAACAGCTTACACTAATGCAAGCATTAGTGGCTGCTTCTACGGCTAGAACTTGTAACTTATAGATAACACGGAGACAAATTTATTGTTGATCCAAGACTCGCCTTTACTGTGCAACTCAATATGACCCTTAATTCTTTTCTTCATAATTAAGTTAGTGCTACAGATCATAATGGTGGAAATCAACCCCTAAATATTAGATGGAAATGTTAATTATTTCTTTAGATTGATGGGATGATTTTTTTGTTTTTTCCATTTGGAAATGTGACAGTTATTTTTCAGGTTGTGAGAATGGCACTTAATGGTGGATTGCTACCAAGATAGATGGATGCTTTAAATATTTCCAGGGAAAGGAAAAAGAAGATAACAACTGAATTCAGAAACTTTATGAGCCTATTAGAGAAACTAAGCTTTTTATTAATCTTTACTGACATTTTCGACCAAAGAACATCCAAATAAGTTTGTGAAAACTCTCTTGCATGGTGTAGCACTCACTACCTATTGTATCCATTCTCTCTTACTTCACCTATTTGCAGAGCTTTCAGCATAAAAATGCGAAAAAACTTGCTTACCAATCTTGCATCAAATGAATAAATACAAGTGTCCTGCACATAAACATTTGTCACTTAACCATAATTAAATAATACTGAGGATTGAAACAAAAAAGAAAAAAGAAAAAAGAATGACGAAATTTAAATAAATGTGATCACTTTCTAGCTCTTGTTTGAGACTACGGTGTAGTTATTATTGTACTTTCTATCTCTTGCCTGCATGTCTTATACCATACAAACAAAATGAATGCTGACTAGAAACTTGTTCTACATTCAGAAAGGTGGGGTTTGGGGGG